GCAGCACCCAAACCTGTGCTGTGTGCCTGGGAGCCGTGGAATCGTGATGAGGACCCAGTCTTTGACTGGCACCGTTGCAACCATGCCATTCACCTCAGTTGTGCCACCAACCTTCGGGCCCACCAGCCCCACCCAGTGTGCCCTTCCTGCAGAGAACCTTGGCGCCCCAGCTTGGAAACACGCCTTGACACCTTGTGTCACCAGCACGGCATGGTCGCGCCAGACCCCGCCCCGGCCCAGCCCGCCAGCCGCAGCCACCCGCAGCCTCCAACAACATCTTGCCTCTGTGCTGCCACCGCCTCATTCTTCTAGACCCCCGCCACAACAAGACACAGCCTGGCAAGAGCTGCCCGACCGCCACATGGTGTGGGCACCCACACATGACCAGAGCGCGGGTGAATGGTGCCCAGAATGGATTTGCCTCCGTTGCAACGCAACGGTCGAGCCCAACCACACCCTGCTCCAAAGTGTGCCGCCAACACCGGCGTGCCCAGAACACGGCCTTCGCAGCCTTGTCCTGGATCTTCACCGGCACGAGCGTGGCTGGGGTTGCTGCCACGGCACTTCTCCACCAAGGTTCCAGCAGTGCGCCCCCCAGCAAATCCACGCCCCCGAGTGGCACCCAACATCGGGGCCTACCAACGCCATGCTTCACCAACCCCCGCCGAAGCAGCGAGCACCTGGGCCTACAAACAGCTGGCTGTACGTGCCCCTGCTCCACGCCGGGGCGCACAGACTGGCCACCCTGCAGGAGCACGCAGCAACATCCGGCACTGGCACCACAGCTGCCGGAAGAGCACTGACCACACAACTTGCAGCAGCGAGCGTGCAACTACCCCGCGGCACCGCGGTACATTTGCCGGGGCACTCAACATACTAACCTTCCCCACAGGGTATATCGCAGCCACAGCACAAGAAACTCTGCTCCAATGCTACCTCGGCGACCGTGGGGCCGCGCAAGCAGCACTCCTTGCAGACCACCACTTAGAGTGGAAATCAGCAACATGATCGAAGAGGAAAGAGGAGGACCAGCGAGAATGCCAAGGAAACCACAGTGGGACGATCAGCGTGGTTTCCATTTTGGAGGTGGTCGAGGTGGTGCCAGTTGACCGTGGGAGCCTGAAACAATCCAGATTCCAGATGCCCAACGGAAGCACGGAGGCATCTCAATCGCGCTTGCAACCGTGCCGACCTAAACACCAGGCAGGAACATTAGACGATTCAGGATGATTCAGGCGCTTTGGCACCATGCCATTTGAATGGAAAACCGCCAGCTCGAAGAGATTGCGTGCGGCGTATTAACTCATGAGTTTTGCATGACACTATGTTGATCATGGACAAATTAAAAAACCCCGGTCCATGAAGGGGGGTTGCGTACAGACATACAAAACACTCACATGGTAGCATGAAGTTGGCATGATCATGAGCATGACACGCACAAATCAAAGGAGTGTGCCAACCGAGACCATTTTCTGCTGGAGATACGAGAGCTTCGCAATAGCCGATCTTCTTTCTGTGCTGGTTTCGCACAAAGTTTAGCAGCGCAATTTTCCACATGATTTTCGACGAATTACAGCACCCCAGAACCAGTCACACAACCGCAGTGAACCTAAGACTGGAGGTCTTCGTTGGCTGGTTGCAAAATGCCGGTCCAAAATGATGACCAGGACCATCCCAACCTCCTTGCACTCTGCCCGCTTGTTCAACAAAGCTTGCAACTCGATTTCATGTCGAGTGTCATTTGTTTGACAACTTTAGGTAGGTGGGGTCGTCGAAAAATAATTGAATTAAGCGTTCCGAAGGTCGGCAAACAAGATGATCCATATCCATATTCACATGTTTCACAGTCTGGCCAACATGACTCTGCCATCAAATGCCGGACTTTAAGCAAGGTTGTTCAGAATCAAGAGTGGTGGCCAACTAAGCGGCAGCACAGTCCTAGCTACTGTGGGAACCATAACTTGGCAACGTGTGGGTTTGGACCGAGCAAGAGGGCTGCAAAGCATTCATGGCCACCTCAGCCAACAACCGCAAGATCACGCCACTCGTGCTACTATGACTATTCACGTGAACAATGGGCTCAACGACCCCTGCATTTGATTGCGCGGCCCGCCTTCTCGAAACGCTGCAGCAGTTACCCCGCCACCTGGAAATGGTTGCGGCTGCCTGGCCGACTCAATGGAAAAACCCAAAGCAGCAACAAAAACAACTTCGAGCTGGACACTGAGGACAATACCTGACACGGGCTACAATGAAAGGGTTTTCGGAAGCACAGCGGGCTTCCACAAAACAGGGGTTTGGAAGAGATTGGAAGTCCAGACTCCTGACGAGGTGTTGAAGGAACCCAAGGCCGGGTCAGGTTGTGGACTTCGTTCTGGTCGGTTTTTTATACTGGGGCAGATCGCGGGGCAGATTCTGCCAAGGGCTCTCGAGCGAGGTGCTGGAGCCGATGTGGAAACATTTTCCATTTAGTGCTATCATGCCCCAGCTGGATCCCGGAAGCCGACTATATAGAGGCGATGTGTTCCGGCCCAAAATAGCTGATGTAGAATACTGAATGTTTTGGTGTTATGTAACACTCCAGAAATGGTCATTTGAGTCATCACGAACTTGTTGTTTTGAGGTTTTGAGTCCAGTATGCTGCAAACAAACTCACTGTGACAACAGCTGGCTCGTTGAATGTCAAGTTGCACAGATACTGTCACTCGTAGTTTACATCAATGTAAGGTAGGAATGCACGAGTGCATGCACTGGGGGAAATAAGCTGACGACGATTGACAATTGTGATCACTCTGTGCAGTGCTAGCCCACCCATGGTGCTGAGGGGCGTGTGTGTGTATGAGGAAGGCCCACTGTAGGGACGCAGCAAACCAAAAGTTCATCAAACTTGGCCTGCTTTTGCATCGAAGGTTTGCATGTGCCACGGCAGACTTGCCTCCGGTAGGCCGGAGCAGCGCAGAGCAGTGCAGAGCAGTACTTTTGTACAGCAACAGTTTTAAATTTGTCATGTTTCAAAGGATTGATTGGACGGACTGATAGCACACTGGCATGCCAACAGTGCAGCAGCACAGTTTTGGGGTAACACGTTATGTGATGCAATTTGTGTATCTAGGAATCTAGGACCTAGGTTTTTCACTTTGGAAGGTTGGAAGGGTCCTTACCAGGAGGCGAGAGTTCCGTCGGCCCTCGTTTCAGCTCTGCGAGCACATCCATGACCCAGCCTCAGGATGCAATTCATGATGCAGTGTCCTTTTGTCAAGACTTGCAACCATTATCCATGCTGCAGGCATTTGGTTCTATTCATTCGCCAACTATTTTGTTGTAGAAATGCGAGAGGATTTGCGCCTCTTGGATGATACCGTTCTTCCTTGTGAGGTCATTGGTGACCCAAAGGACTTGCAAATCGTGTGGAGCCATGGTCTTGGACCAACGGATCCGCGGGCTATGCATAGAGAATCATGCGAAAGTTTTCCCCTGATCCGTGACTCAGTTGCTGCGAGTTCTGATGGAGGCCTTCCTTTTAGTGCAGTGCTTTTTGATGCAAGGGGGCATGGAAAATCTTCAGGATGGGAACCAATGGCCTCATGTATCCAACAGTTTCATTGGCGCAGTTTGGCCTTCGACATGCTCACAGTTGCCTCACATTTCCGCCACCTTCCAGCTCGAAAACATCGAGGAGCCCTTCTTGGCGGATTCAGCATGGGTGCCTCCACAGCCATTTGGGCGGCACATCTCTGTCCAACAATGGTGAGGGGATTGGTATTATTCTCAGTAACAACTGCTTGGGAGATCAGGGCAGCTCGCCGTTCATATTTGCTAAAATGTGTGGAAAAGTTGGAGGGTACTGATCCTGCAGCTGCCCAAGTAGTGAAGGGTGCGGCTTACACTGACTTGCCTCTTTTGGAAGAGCTGGCCACATCAAAGCTGCAGATCCCAGTGTTGCTTTGCGCGGCACGTGATGACAAAACCCACCCTGCTGAGGTAGCAGAGCGATTGAAAACCGTACTGCCGAACGCAGATCTTCTTGTGACAGATACGAAAGAGGAACTGAACCAGACGTTCCCCAAGCATCTTTGTGCCTGGCTGGCTCGCAACTTCCATCCTGACATCGTAGAATGAACTGCTTGGTAACAAAGTACCGTATATACATAGTATTTCGACCATCCAGAATGAATTGCTTTGGTAATCTTTTTTTCATTATTATGGGCTGTGACATGTGAATGAATGGAGTCAGCCCAGTGGCACCTGATGGTTTCCCGACTGCGGACTAGCAAAGAGCAAAACTGAGCACTTCTCAAAAGTGTTGATTGAACTGTCTTATGCACAAAGTGGAAAGCTGCTTGCAAAAGAGTGTCTCAATCCATTTATGAGCAACGATTTGTGATTAAAGATGAGACGAGGTCATTCCTCTCTGGCTTGTTTGGCGGTGGCCTCATTGAACTATCTTGCTGACAGCCCACGAGTCCTGGTTTGAGGAAGTGTATCCACAAAATCCACCGTGTAAGAGGAGGCCTTTGTCGTCTATAAACCCCGTTCTGGACTGCACCTGCTCCAATAAGCTTCTGATCCGCAAATGACAATGCTATGAACGTGGAGCAACCAAGGGGAAACCTTTCAGTCTTTGCAGTACATCATTGTGACCCATGCATCGAGCACATGTCCTGTGCTTTCAGACGAATGAAAGGAATGGCTGATAAACTGCAGCATGGGCAACATCAATTCGCGTTTATGGAGTTCACAACCGCCCTCGGCAAACCCAGCCCCGCAGGCAAACCTGTGTGTGTCGGGTTTGCTGCAGCTCAGGTTGGACATTTGCTGGTGAAGGGCAAGCCGTGTCAGCTGCTTAGAATATGGCGGTTTCCGGGTTAAGTTAGCCGCACCCAAGTTGCTAGCCACATGATCAACAACCGAGGGCCTCCAGCGACAGCAGTAAACAATACAGCTTCGTGTGGAGCCCAGCACTGTTTTTTTGCATCATTGCTTTCATGCTTTAACATGTGATGTACGTAGATTCCAAAGCTTATGCACCGTTTGCATGCACATTTCTGGTGCAGGAACGGCTACAGCAGTTATATAACGGACTTGCTCAATTCCGAGAGAGTGTTTCCACCTTAACCCGTTGCACATATTTCTGGTGCCTCAGTTCAGATTCGGTGAGCCTCCTTTTCCTGGCCAAGGACCTGGAGAAGAGCGGTGAAGGAGATAAGCTGATTGAAACGGTCAGGCAGATCACCGAGGCGATTTTCATATTGACTTTTGAGGTGTTGCTGCATATTACATATTACTAATGGTGCGAGATTTGCTAGCAGAGATCTGCAGGTTTTGATTTGGGGAGAGCAGACGAACAATAGCTGTGACACCCAGATTTATTTTGTGCGTTTTCTCTGCTTCCAGCATTTCAGTTGAAGGAAGGTTTGAACTGGATTTTGCTGCTGTTGTCGCCTGTGGTTTTTAACATCATATCGAATGTTATCACTCATTTCAGCTGATAAACTCAGGCCAGTTCTTTGATTTCTTTTGTGAAAAGTCTTGGGCTCAGGTTTCCAGAGTTGAAATGCACTATTTGCACGGAAGGGCTTGGAAGATTTTTGAAGCTCTGCGCTGGTGAGGAGTATTTTCTCAGATTTGGTGCATGTTCTTGGTTTGAAGAAGGCCTCCAAGAAGGCGCGGCCCTGTCATTTTTCCTTTGACCAGCTAGCAGCTATCGCGCCTGAGTCATTTTGAGTCTTTGGGCACAGGTGAAGTTGCAGCTCCTTCAGACTTTATCCATGCTGGTCCAGAACATCCGGAGACAGACGTCTTGCATCCAATACAAGATCACGCCACGAATTCAGGGCTAGCATCTTTACCGTCCTAGGTCTGTCTACTACATCTTGAGTAACAACCATGTGAACAGACTCATGGCAGCCTCCTTGGGAAAGCCTCCTTGGGAAATGCAGAAGTGACATGTCTAGCTGAGACGTGCTCCCTTTGCCCACTTGGCCCAGTCCACCAACATGGATTTTGATGACGAGGAGGTGCTGGCGTACTACATCACGCTGATGAAGTGGTGCTCTCAGCTTTCAGCTCGTGACTCATGCCTTGTGCTCAAGCAACGGACAAATTGAGCTGGTTCATCATCGGGCTATGTGCACTTATGACGTTGCTTGAGCTTCTATTAGTTCTTGGGCGAGTCTGGTGTACTGCCTAAATTATACTTACAGTCCCAAATACCTAGCCACACATGTGGTGTGCCGTCTCTATATGCGTGACATGCTATTTGAGCTTGGTGTTGGTGTGGCTTGAAGAGCCAGTCTTGTTGCCTTGCAGGGAGCATTGGTTGCATGTGTGAGTGTGTGTGTGACCTTTGGAGTCACAAGGTTCCTGTTGGATTGTTAGGTTTGATTGCCGTATAAGCAGGGGGACTCCCTGACTTGTAAAAGTGGCAGTCCAACGAAGAGGCTGTTACGAGTCACTGATATGGATTCTGGACGCATCCACGTGCCTGCCGCTATACCTGAAGCATTTCATCGTGGGCCCTGCTTTTAACTAGAACAAGACATCCAGCCTTTACATCGGTTCATCATCGGCAGATGTGCATTGTGGCTTTGGATTTGTCGATTTGGAGTTGGAGGCTGTGCAGGTTTTGAAGAGGCTTGGAGCACCATACTTCTACCTGTCCTGGCTTCTTAGGTTTTTTACTTAGGCTGGCGTGTGGCAAACCGCAGCCAAACCAGTACGTATTTCTATAAGTGTTTCTCTCCTCGTGAGAGCCCAGGGTGACCCCGAAGAGTGGCCCCTGTGGACCCGTTGAATGGGGGTTTGTCGTCCCTGCGCCCGGGACCAGAGTAGTCCGCAGCGGACAAAGTAGGCAGACTGGCTGAATTATTGAACTCCAAGCTGGCGGCCAGTTTGGCATGCCTTTAGGTGACCATAGCGGTCAGAGCAGCCAGCCATTTTGGCACGGCGCACGTGGCCGCAGCAGCCGAAGCATGTTCAAGGTTCAGTGGAACCTGTCGCAACCTTAGGTGCACATACAGCGTCTACATGTAAACGAGTTTTACCCAGGTGTTTCTAACGAGGTTTGGCTTCATCGGTTCTCGTCCCCTCCATTTGGTTCCCTTTTCATCCTTTTCCCCTTTACACACATCTGCTTTCTTCTTTTCATGTCCTCCTGTCTTCATGTCTGGTCGTCTCATCCTTTCTTTCGTTTGCGCGCACATGGGTCCTGGCCTTAGTGTGTACGCGCACAACCTACTTCAACCTAGGTTTCAGGTCGCCCAGGTCTTTATAATGAGGCGGGTTTTCTTTGTCTTGTTGCGTGCGCACTTACACTTTCGCCCTGGCCTGAGTGCTTCTCGCCTCCCCTCGGGGAGGCGTGTGTGTGTGTGTGCCCCTTGTAGTCACAGGGATTCTGTTGAATTGTTTAGTTTTAAGCAGGGGGGCTGGTGTTTCATGCAAGTACCAGCCCAACGAAGAGGCTTGCATTGAACACTGATATCGGTGGGGACGCTCACCGACGTACCTGCTTCCTTCGAATTTTTGAACTTTCTTGTAAAGGGCTAACGCAGCTGCAGTCACGCACGGAACGCCGTCAACCTGTCGCTCCGTTTTCGGTTTGCGCTTTGGGCCACCTTTCCTTTTGAAGACCTCCAGGATCCGTGGTTCTTATTTGTACCCTTAGGAAATGGTACCCTAGGCCGGCGTGTGGCCCCGCTGTCAAGTCAATACGCATATCCATAAGTGTGTCTCTCCCAGTGAGAGTCCGGGATGAGCCCGTAGAGTGGGCCCGTCGAACGGGTGTCTGTCAATGTTTCCCTTGCTTTGGAAACGCACGCGTCCCTCCACCCGCACTCGCCCGTTCCCTCATTCACTCCCCACCTTCTTCCAGCAACAACATTCCCCCTTCTTCTTCAACACATCGCCAGATCCAGGTCAGGGGAAAACTTTTCTCGCTACATCCACCAACACCTGAACGCACCCACCACATCTTCCACTTCAACACTCAGCACGCCACCGCCTCCCACCCACTGTTTCTCACCACATCAATCAACTGATCCACAACCACCATGCCCAGCTCCACCACCAGCTTTCACTCCCGCTACCACACCGCCACCACCACAGCCGGCGCCGCAAGCACTCTTTCCACCGCTTCCTCCCATACCTGACTTCTCTCTTACCGAACAACAGGCCAACAGCCTCACAGATGCCATCCTGCGCATTGCTCGCAGCGCCGCAACCGCCGCCGCCGCCGCCAATATGACAGCACCCTGAGCTTCACGGCTGGGGACCACGTGTCTCCTCGTTTCACTCCACATCGCTCTCACAGCCAGACCAAAAAAGACAGCTCACACTCACACAACATTTGACCATATGATTGCAAGTCCGAGTCTTTCGTTTTCAGTTTCACTAGTTTCACAACTGCTTCACAACCACTCTCACCAGGATTCAGTTGTTCCATACTGTGTATCGGCCTTCATCTCTTTCATTTATGTTCTTCCCCGCAGCCATTTTGAACGCTCAGCTTTTTCTATTCCAGTGTGATTCGCAATCATGGCTTTGCCACAGCCACCGGATGAAAGCAGTGAAAGCTCCTTTTGGGCCGCCGTCTATGATGAAGATCCTCCCCACATCCTTTGTGGAGTGCTTACCGATCTCAACCTCCATCGTTTTACATTACACCAGCACCTTACCACCAATGCAGCTCCCACTGAAACGCCACTCCTTCACCAAACCTTCCAAGACGCATTGCCACCAGCCATCCAACGCCTTCGCAACTACAACACCAATCTCTACCTCGCCAACGTGCACTTGCACCGAGCGCTCGATGCCCTCGATGCCATGGGCCGACACCCACCCAGCATTTACCTTCGCAACCCAGATACAGCAACAACAATCCTCCTGCACCCACCATCACTGAGCCTCCTTTTCCCACCAAGCACGTTATCACCAGGGCAACCAGTCGCTCTTCCACCAGCGATCCAACATTACCTTCCACTTTTCCACCTGGAACACGGGTCTTCCAGCACAATTCCACACAGACCACTCCAACACACTTCACCACCCACGCCATTCAGCAAACAGACATCATCATTACCCCACCACTGATCAACCAAGACCAGCAAACCTCACCACGTTCCGACCTCTGCAACATCGAAGTCTAAACTACCAATGAACCTCAGCAAACTACGTCCATTCAAACAGACATTCACGCCATTGTACGATACCCAGCTTTTGCCACACCCAACGCTGCCTCTTTTCCCACTTCTTCTCCTTCTACAGCTTCACCTTTCCCTACCACGCCCATTTCCACCACCAGCATCACATCAGCGCTCAACAAGCAGCCCAACCAACCGACCACTGGCTGCATGCTGATTTAATTCCAACTCCTGCGGTCGATCGCCCACCTGCTCCAGCACTACCATCTGACTTTACCGCACCCGTGGGTGGTACCCCACAACGCCCACGCTCCAAGACTCCTCCGAGGTCGGGCACACCTCGCAGGACCCGCTTTACACAGGACCGCCCAACGTATCCACGCTATGGATCCCCAGTGCCACACCCGCGCTCCACCACTCCAACCTTTTCACCAACTGTCAACGGCCTTTGTCCAGCCCAAGCGACCACCACCACCTCTGCCAGAGTACACCGCTCAGGCTACCTCGGCGCCCTACTGGCAGGCTGCCGCACCGATCCCGGTGCATACGGCATACCCTACCACTGCCCCACCAACCGCCACCACCTCTGTCACTGACCCCTGGCCAGCACCATACCAAAGCTCACATTACCAACAGTCACCTCAACCACAGCCACGTCAGCACCTTTCTCGGAGACCCGACACAGCCGACGCAACCGCAACAGTGCACTCCACCACCAACACCGCAGTCACAACAACCACAACCTCTATACAATGCATACTCCCACCAGGCCAGCAACCATACTGGCCCAACGATGATCCATGGAACAACTATGGCCGCGGCTGGGACAATCCTGACCAGCCAGAGGAGGACTTTTTCTGCCACTGAGAAGCCTGACGCCGCCTTTTGTGTCTTTTCATTTTTGAAGTAGACTACCGATTCATGTCCACCGACCTCTCCTTTCCAAGTTTCTTATGTTCGTCGCGACGTGTTGCTTCAAGCTTCGCCATGACATGTTGCCTCAAGCCTCTCAGACATTCAAACAACGTGGTGGACATTCTACCAAGCTGCGACCGTCCGCTGTTTCACATCGCACCACGAAAAAAGCATGAGAAATTTCTCTCTAGGCTTCATGTTGTTGATTACGATTGACTGCTTGCTGTTCTGATCGATTTCATGTCGTCAGGAGTTTTGATTGTACTCACAGTCACCCATCAATTGTTTTCCCTGCATTTGCTTTCATGGTTTTCAAGGCTTTACTTTTTGCCTCACAGCTATCTTGCTCGAACTATCCGCCTCGCATCGTCGCCTTTCCTGATCACTCAAACAAACATGGATGCGCAGTGGCAACAGTTCTACTGGCAACACTACCTCCTTCAACAACAGCAACAACAACAAGTCTCCAGCCAGCCGACACAGCAGTACAGCCCCACAGGCACTTATGGCCCGATTACCCATGCCGTCCGCACTCAGCAGGCTCACCAACACCACCCTTACACTCCATCGCCTAACACCTCACAACAGGCACACGCTCCATCACCGTCCGCCAGTCAGCCTTTCCCTCCACCACCGCCTCCACTGCCAACAGCAGCTCTGACCACTCCAACCAACAAATCTTTCAAGCACAGTCCCACCCATTCAGCGCCACCGGCACCGCCAGCCACTGTCCCCTTCCCTCAACCCACTGTTCAAGACTCGTGGGGCCCCACAGAGTTCCATTGGGACTCCCACTCACTCCACGGCCACCAGCTCCACAGGACCATCCAGCCAACACAATGGTCCCGCAGGGTCGGTATCGCCGGCTTACCCACGTTCGAAGTCTTTCCCTGGCTCCTTGCCTATCATGGCACGGCTGATTACACGGCCCGGACCCTGAGCCACGGGAAATTTTGTGGCCTCATTCCGACAAGGAGCATTGCAGAATCAGTCT